AGATGTTGCTACATCCTGAAGGAGCTGAAGCTATCGAGTGATTTGCAGGTTTGTCTTCGTATGAAGTGCACTAGAGAGAGTTAGCAAATCAGAAGGCCAGACTCCAGAGAAGATGACACAAATTCTGGCTGAGCCTGGTGCTCCTGTCTGAAGTCCAGAGTGGCTGGAGATCAAGAGGACCCACTTGTAAACCTGACTTATGGACAGATGAACTCTGTAATTACTCCGGTTCTGACTGAGCATAAGCAGGAATTTAAATGCTTCTAGATCCCAGGATTTGGCCCTGTGGATACATAAACATTAAATGATTATAATGCTTCATTTAGAAAAATGTTGATTTTTGACAGCTCTCACTGAAACAAAGCAATTGAAAACTTCATAGATAGAACAGTTACCATGAAATTTCTGTATGAGAAGGACATAAATAAGTCAAATGCCACAGAATATATGCAGAAACATTCTTCTTCCTGTGTAATTACATTTCACATTGTTTCTAAAAGAAGAGAGGTACAGTTGCTTGGAATGGAAATTTGTAAATGTCCCCAGATCTTTGAATCGGGATGTTGCGTGAGGACCTGAAACTGGAGTTTTTGAGACTGCAGTACACAAGTAATGCCACTGTTGTTATCAGATATAATACCCAGCTGGATACCAATGGGTTTTTAGTCAACAGTGATCGGCATTTGACGTTGTACAGTGATCTTCAGTCCTACTTCACCTGTTGTTGCGTGAAATTTCTCTTTTAAGAGGAAGCTTCTGAATACTCGTATTATATGCTCTCCATAAATGTACTTGGCCTTTAGATTAAGCATAGTACCAAAATTAATGCGTGTGAAAGGATATTAATCTCCAACTAAGTATGTTTTGTTTTCTTATTAGGTTTCCCCTGACCTACAGAATGAAGTGCTCATTAGCCTATTAGAAACTGACCCAGATGTTGTGGACTATTTGTTGAGGAGGAAAGCTTCCCAGTCATCGTGAGTAATCTGTTTTTTCATCATCTGTGTTTCTGCTGGGAATTTCTATCTCCCACTGGAAGTGTTCGAAAGGTTCTAGTTTTCCACAGCTCTTCTGCACTGTCTACAGCGGAGTAGAAATATCCTCCCCATCACACAGACTCTGCCAAAGAAATTACGACTCTTGTACAGTGTTTTCTAAAGACAAATCTCGTTTCCCGATTCAGAGGAAAGATTGCATTCTGCTGCAGAGAACAGAATGACATGTACATAAAAATATTCAGTGCACTATTATCTGACAGGATGTATTCTGGTGATCTGCTGGTTCGTGTCTTGGGTTTGTTGTAGTCTTCAGTTACTGGAGGCGTGTGTTACACTGTCCTTGAAACACACTCTAGAGTGCCTTAACACAGTCACGGCTAGCCCTTTGGCCAGTTTGTTGTTCTTTTCCTACTGTGTACACATAGGACATTGTAAACAAGTCAACTGCCACAGCGGCAGGTTTATGGAGACTTTTTGGAGATTATTTAATTGTATGCTTTGTGAAAGATCGGAAGTGGAAAAAAGAATCACACTGGTCACTATTGCAGTTATGATACATAACAAACTCCAACTTTGTGTACGGTGTATATATACCTACACCTGTGTGCCTTAACGCTAGGAGTTTGTACATTTGGATTAACAGGATTCTGGCTTTCTCATGGGACACACAGTCATTGCCTTTATTCTGGTGAATCCCAGTATGTCAGACCCAAAAATCACAAAATTTGACAAGCTTGATTTAAGTAATTTTTAAGAGGTTTCCTGGACTCTAAACTCTCTGGGACAGATTGGACTTTGTCTTCCTGTGTGTGTGGAAAGTGCCTAGTGTGTCCAGAATATAATGAATTTGTACAGTCAGTTACCTCTGATGTTTTTTTTCTCCCTCTGAATATTGTGTAATTGGAGGTAATGTAATAGTGTGCCTGGCTTTAAAGGAAGAGGTATAAAAGAAACAGTATAATTAACACATGGAGAAAAAAGCTTTCTTTAATTATAAAAATTAAAAACAAAAACACGTGCAGAATATACCATGTGTTGTGAAGGATTTTATTAGTTTGTTGACTTAACCACATGAATGCGTAACATGCAGTAGCAAATGATCACAGATCATCTGATTTGTGGTAATTGTCTCTGTGTGTTTTCTTAGTGTACCACAGACATGAAATAGTTTCAGTTAGTTTATGTCTGATGGACAAGTAACCATGTATATATTTAGATCACAATAAATGCAGGATAATTAGAGGTACGTTAGCTGTCTTTTACACTTGTTTCACGTTTGCCATGAGCCAAGACCACAATTAGGAGAGACACTGCAAGCCACATGACATATAGTAAAGTCTGTAGAGACTTATTTCTTTAAGCCTTCAGTTTGGAATGATTGTATTATTTCTAACTCAAGCTAATAAAAACCTTTATGCTGGATTTCACCATCTATATAATATAAAAACATAAAATTGTATCTCACATGTGGCTACACGTATCAATTGAGCATAAAGTTGTCGCAAATCATTGTGGATGTCACAGATTATTGTTAGATCACATTTCCTTTAAGTTAATTGACCTTTCCTTGAGTTTCCTTACTTTTCAGCCAGCGTGCACACCTACGGAAAAAAATGCGTGTTTTGTGCAAAGCTGCTCACAACTGACAAATGGGATTTTGTAAGAAAAGGTTACAAAACCAAATAGGAACATGTAGCTACACTAGTACAAATTTATTTTATTTTCAGTAATGGGCAGATAAAGTATCACTGACATAGGAAAAACTTACTATATATCATTTTTCTTCTACTCTGCTATCATGTCAGTGGTTTATTCTTAATGTTAATGAGATATGTTTTCACTGTGATTGCAACTTCGTGGTTAAGATATTCCAGGCAATTAGAGGGAATGTTGCTTAGTGTTACTGCAAGGAGTGTGATGCTCTTAAGAGATTAATCTATTTCAGAACATAATCTCAGTTTTGAGGCTACATATTTGTTGGTTATTTTTCCTGTAAGAAATACGAGGCAGCAGACAGCAAGGAGGTGTTTGCCTTGATTTGATAAAAGTGAGCCTTCAAAATACATGCTTACTACTCTTGGAAATTTCCTGGTCACGTTCTCAAGATCCAAAGTTGGAGGCATGGAAAAGAAAACTTTACATATTCTGGAGACAGTCTTCATCGGAAAAGCTAGTTGGCTGCATAGCATAGAGTATGGAATCAACTTCAAGACTTTAGTGTCGTATTAATTGCTGTGAAGGTCCTGCTTCTGCTTGCCCTCACATCTCTGCTTTTGATGTAATTACAAATTGCTTTCTTGGCTCTGATCTAACAGAGGAAACACAATCTCTTTTCCTCCCTAGTGGAGGACAGATGTTCATTGTCTTTCAGTTCTCTTAATAGCTGAGCATCGTGAATGGTGTGTCAGGGAGTTTATGGGAATTGTTCATGGTAAAGCACTAATTACCTTTGGCAGCAATTATGAAGTGTGCTTTTGTGGATGACTTCCCAACTTTTTTGTATGTTGGCTTGATGACAATGGAATTTGGGGTTTCCAGCTGTAAGATGAAACATCTTTAAACTAACACAAAAATAAAATCTGTTTCTTATGACTATTTATTGCTTATCATGGTTAGTAGTCCTTTTAGATTAAATGAGTTTCAAAGTTACAGAGTTTTTGAATGTTTTTGGATGGCGATGATGGGTTTTAATCCATCCTAACCTGTGGCAAAAAGATGAAGCCACGCAATAGGCCATACAGTATGCGTAAATGCAGTTTTCAAAGCTGCAGCAGCTCCCTGAATCACTGAGTCCTCTACCCTGTTACAGTAGCCACCACATCATGTTCCCATAATAATCTGTTTTCTTGGTGGCACCTGTGTTGCTCAAATAAGTGTGGAAATTACTACTGCACGCTGCCAAGCCATCACACTCCCTATGATTTGCCTCTTGTAAGACATAATTGTTTTCCCACTCAGAAGATTTAGGCTATAACATAAAACTATTTCTGCCAAAACCAGAAAGGGATTTCCAGTTTTGATGACCTTCATGCCAATAGAAGAGTAGAAATATCCCAGTAGAAGTAATTATTATTAACTTTTTTCCAGTTCACCCATACAAGTAGACTCTGGTGGATAACATCAGTTCAGAAGGATGCCAGTTAAAACGGAAAGCCCAAAACTCCTTCACAGAGTGGTTGATTTTTGTTTTGGAATCTGAAATTGTATTTTTGAACACATGTGGCATAGGTTCCTTCTGCAGATTTCAAATCTTTCGGTTTATATGTAACCACTTTTTAAATCTTTTCCTTAACATAGTTCAAAACCACTAGAAAAGACTTTACTTGCCTTCCGATTTCTCACATCTGATAGTACATAATCTTCTGTTATTCTTTGTGGAGACCATAATCTGCCCTTATTCATAGACTACATGTAGGTCAGCGAGTATCACGCGCAATATTTACGTTTGCCTGCTAATTTAGTTTTTCCCCAGTGTGTGGGTAGAGAATCTCAGCACTATCCAGGGGAAGATGAATTTTGAATTTTAGTAAACATCTGTTTGCTACTGAACTCAAACAATAAAGCAAACAGATGCAAAAGTTTTAAGGAATATGTGAGAATTCATTCTTTATTTGGAAACACGCAAGCCAAAGTCTTTTGCAAGTTGTGTTTCATTTTGTTTGTGAAGAGCACGGTAAAGCTGCAAAATTGAGATCAATTTCCGACTTCAGAGTATTCAATCCATTTTGATGGTTTCTTGTAGTAAGATTGACAGAGTCCACAGGCATTTTCTTTGAATTTTAAAACTTATTTTTTTCTAAATAAATTTGAAAGTGATACATATATATAATTGCACAGGCTTACTAGCAGAAACTGTGAATTATTTTAGAAACTTGAACATTTGGATCTTTCCAAAGACCTAACAGTTTGTGTTCAAGTACATTTTTATCAGGAGCTCTGTCTTGAGAAGAGGTAGATTATAACAGATCCTTCAAGGTAAGACATGAAATTGGTGTTTCACAAAGCTCGAGTTTATGTTCCCACGTTCTTCCATTTCCATTTCCCATTTCCCTGTTCCTTGTGTTACCTTGCCATGACCAAGTGGTGGTATACCTCTCTCTGCCATGTGCAACATAGTTAGGTTTTGATCCTGCAAAGATTTACATGCAATAAGCCTTACTGGTGTCACCGTTAGTGCTAAGGATGTCTGTATGCTGACAGGGTGAGGTTTAGATGACGTTCAGTTGAGAAGGCTGGAGAGAAAGACATTTGGTCATAGGAAACGTACAGATACCAACATTTCTCACTTTTCTCTCAGGTCTTTCTGGTTCTTCTGAAATTTCCAAGACGTTGCTTAAATCTCGTCTTAACTCACACTCACTGCACAAGCTGTTTTAGAACTTAGGAGGGCAGAAAGAAAGGAGTAAGGGATGAAAAAAGAGAAAAAAGATTTGTGATAGAATTGTACATAGTTACAAGACAATAATTCTTCAGTGTGTAAGCAGCCACCCTTTCATAGATTAATTTATGTTGGACTCATCTTCAGATGAGAAGTTGAGATGGGAAGTTACACAACATTACCATACCAGCCACACTGGGAAGCCTGGGACAGTGCTACTTTGTTAAATGGCAGCTCTGGTTTTTTTGAGATGGCCTCAGTTAAGGTTTAGGATGAGTTCAGTGATGGATTTCTTGCTGGGAGCTACCGAGGAGTAAACTTAGTTAATTCATTCCCAACGCTTTATGGTTGCTTTTATACTGGGGAAAAAATGGAATATTGAATAAAAGAATAATCATGATGTTAAGGGTATATATTTTATGTTTTGGGACATGCAATATGTAGATTGGCCAGGAAAAAAAAAACCAACAGCTTGAAAGGGGTGTTAAGGTTTGTCATTATTTCTGTATTAGTATTTAGTGTGCTGTGGCTAGCCTGTCTTACCACTGTGTGTTTTCTTTATTTTCTTTCTTCAGTTTCATTTCATTTGTCTGCAAAGAGAGTTACTGTTCCATAACAGATAACGTGCTTTGGCTGCTCACTCAGTTCAAGCTCTCTTTGGATTTGACTCTGTGAAGGGCTGACAATTTTCAGTACGCATTTACAAGAATGAGCCTCTGTCGTATAACAGTCAATTAAAGCAGTAACTGAGGTCACCGAGAGACGTGTTTGACTCAAGAGAAGCAAAAGATAAGCATCTAAGGAACAAAGATCAAGGTGCAAAGAAATGAAAAATGAGTAACAGAAATATAAATTAGGGAGGACCAATAGGAAAATAATTATATTTGCTTACAGAGTGTTTCTACATATTGTTTGAGAGGTTCAGTGACCCACAGACTGCCTCCCACCCATGTAGTAAACAGTAACAGCTCAAGAAATCTCCCTCAATGTTCCCAATGCATTTCCAAAATGAGAGTTGTCTTTCTGAGCCTTGGCTGAACTTTGGTGGGGGTTTTGTTTGCCTTTCTTTTGCCAAGGTTAAATGCAGGCCATGCTGTTGGTGATATAAAGGTGGAAGGGTAAAAGAAACTGTAGAAGTTGACAGCAGAGCCAGTTGTTTGCTGCCCCCGTCAGCTGTATGGTAGAGACATCTGCTTGTCCTCTGGAGAACATTTACCTTCTGATGTCTCTAGAAGATCCTTCTAACAGCATGAGAGGAGAGCTAAGGTTTTGATTTCTCTGACTGTGTAGTACTTCAGAACGGAAGAAGTGGTGTTAGCGTACTGCTTAGCATCAAACTAGTCTTCCCTGTCATGCCCTCAGATATACTGTTGCACCAAGCTAAACTGTCAAGGTAACATAAAGAATTGATTCACGATTTAATTTCCCATGGTGAACTGTATGGTGGTGCATTTTTTGTTGTTTTCTTTCTTGACAGCAACATCTTTTGATTTTTAGTGGCCTCTGCTGGCCACTTCATGCCGCAAATTTTACTCATGGACAATTCGCCTCTGTACTGCTTCTGCAGTGTTTTCATTTCAGCAGTTGTGATCATATGCCTGTATTTGATTTTATTTGTATGATGTCAGACTGCACCTGCAGCTGTGAATATGAAGCATTTTTTATTAACGGTACTTCTTGTATCAAAATTTCGCAGGAGCCCTGAGATGCTGCAGTCAGAAGGTTCCTACTCCACAGGAGGAAGACATTCTTCCACAGACTCCAACAAAGCTTCAAGCGGAGATGTCTCCCCTTACGACAACAACTCCCCGGTACTGTCTGAGCGCTCGCTGATGGCAATGCAAGAAGAAGTTGCCCGCAGCCCAGATAAGCTGTACAAGGTACCTGAACAGTACACGCTGGTTGGACATTTGCAGCCTAAGACAAAGGAGAATTCTTCTGCATCACAGGCTGGAAAAGGTAGGAGCCCCTCCTGCTCCTGTTCCTCCTCCTCAGTGACTGGTGGGAGTTTCTGAAGTAGTTGAAAAGTGTCATTTTTGTATTATCAGCTACCAGGATTTGAGGAGCAATAGTGTTAATAACCTGACAAGAGATGACTGACCAACATCCTTTTTTTTGTGTGGAGCCCAAAGAGTCTGTGCTCAGTGTTACTCGTTAGCTCAGCCAGCTGCCGGGGATGTGCTTGGTATGGCATTTCCCAAAACTTTGAGCTCTTATTCAGGAAAATAGAACTGTATGTGTGTCCTGATTTTCAGCCTGTCTGTGACAGCATGGCAAAGGTTCTGTTTTCTAGTCCCGCCCCTTAGGACTGTGTAATACCTGCAAGGTTACAGTCCCGACTTTGGAAAAATGTGAGGCTTTAAGACATCAAGCTACAAATTTTCTCCAGTTGAAAAGAATGGCCTCAGCTCCATCTCACTGGAGAGCACAGCTGAGCTGCACAGCTTTACATCTGCTACCAATTACACACCTAGCAATATTAGTGCAGGGATCCATAATTTCCATAGCTATCTAGGGAGGGCACACTTGAATTATTTCTTCTGTAAAGAACTGTGGTTTAAACTGATAGCTCACCAGCACTTCAAGATACTTCTCAATTAAATTTTTTTTTTTTAATTTACGTTCATGAAATGCATGTTTAGGGGTAGCCAAATTTTAAGGACTTTCAGTGCTTAGGGATGCGGGTAACTGGTGGTAATTTTAAAACCATTTTATTTCAGAGATACTGGTTAGGCACTTAATTCCCTTTGGAATTAATGGGATTTAGACTATTATCTCGATTATATGCTTTATAAATGCCAGTGGGCATTTGTCTTCTGTATTCAGCATCTCAATCTCTGAATAGGTTTCAGAATTTGGTCAGATTTCTTGTAAGTTATAAACAGGAAATTGCATGAAGTTTTATCACATTATCCATCTTTTGGACTTCAATATGCATCACAATGATACTGGACCATGACGAATTAGGGAATTCCTTTGCTCCCAGATGGAATCAGAAGAAGGCACGAAACAGTTATAATCCAGTACAATGCCTAATGTGGGCCATTCATTAAGCCATTATTTTGTGACAGCACTTCCTTGTTAGACCCAAGCATGCTGCAGGCTGATGGAGCGTGCCTTACAGTGACCCTGGGGCTGGGGCTGCCTGAGGGAGCGCTGCCCTTTCCTGTAAAAAGCACATGGCAACCTGCTGTTGACCAAATCCTCCTGTTCTTGTGCAAATTCTCTGACTGACTTTAGTAAGGCAGAGGACTTAAGGGAAATCCCACTCTCTCAGCACACTCGGGCATCCTGCCCATACAGAGCTTACCGAATCCATTACAGGATCTGAGCCTGGAACAGCAAGAAACTGTGAACAAATACATTTGCGATTGGTTTGTGTTAGGTGCGCGGTGAGTCAGGTGCTAGTATATGTTGACGAGTCTGATACCTTAGGTAAGGTCTTACCATTCCATTTGTGTGTTTGTGAATAACGGCTTTAAGAGGATCGATTCATCATCTTCTTCCTGCTTTTACTGCTGTTCAGATGTTTCCGAAGATCATTTTGATATCTGGGGCACCTGGCATTCAACGCTGAAAAGTGGCTGCAAAGATCCAGCAATGACAGGTCAGTTATTTCTCAAGTTCTAAGCCCAAATCTATCAAGGACATCAACAATTTCTTGGTTTTGAGAAATCGTGGTGAAATCAGTAGGAGAATTCACGTTGTCCAGAGTTGGACTTTTGAAAGGTGACTGTTTGATAAAATACAGAGAAGCGCAGTGAGTATACAAATGTGGCGACATTTCAGAATGTCACAATATAATTTAAAAAGTCACAGAATCGCAGAATGGTAGGGGTTGGAAGGGACCTCTGTGGGTCATCTAGTCCAACCC